TCCTCTTATCCCTTTTAACCTTTCTCTCCTTAAGGTAAAATCATTCTATTGAGTGGATATTTACCGTATATAATTTTTTATTTCTGTTAGAAATTTTGTTACATAACTATAAATCTTGTACCTATGGTTAAAGGTGGCAGATTAATACTTATGACAAGTGAGAGTTTGTCATTTTCCAGTCTGTGCTTAATGCCATTGTTATTACTGGTTACACTACTTTAGAAAGGTGATATAGTTGTGATCAATTGCTCTTCCTTGCATGCCAACATCTAGATTGTCTTGGGGTCATAAGCAATACTGCAGTCCACTACCAAAGAATTGGGTGCTAGGCCAAACAGGCGCCAATTTTTCATCCATAATCAATTGAAGAGGCAGGATCCTGGGACAGACCCAAAAACCAAAACCCAGGTATGCCTTGAAGACATCTCTGAAAAGTAGTCATTTCCTAAAGAGGTCTTGGTACTAGTAATACAGCTACCTACCATAACCAATTTGCAAGCCTCAGTGAAGAAAACAAATAAAGGAAAAATAGAAAATGAGAAAACATGGAAGCAAGATGCAATCCACAACCCCCAGCTCAACCAAGGTAAATCAAGGGAGCACTAAGTTGGAAGAAATCCAAAGCTGAATTTTCTGAAATAGTAGCAGTGAAAGTAACAAAACAGATCAATAAGCCTCCTGACAAAGCATAACAGATAATTAAAGAGATGATCATAATGAAGGAAATGATTAGTTAATATAGATACAAATAGTTAATATGACTAGTTAATACAGATACAGATTAGTTAATACAGTTAGTAGATAAAGATTTTAAAAATAGAGGAGCTTGGAAAAGACAAGGAAACGATGAATGCCCAACATAGAAAAATAACTGGATTCCATAAAACAGACGCAAATAAAAATCCAGGGCATTAAAAATGCTACTGAAAATATACACAGCAGAGTCCAAAAATGTGTGGATACAATATCAGATCTAGAAGACAGGGTTGTGGTTGGCAATCATCAAATGAAAGATCTCTTAAAATAGCAAGGGACCATGAAAAATCAATTCAACAGTTGCCCAACGATGCAAAGAAGAATAATATAAGATTAATTGAAATCAATGAATCAGAAGATATCACACAGGGCATACAAAAACCTGTTCACAGAATTAATAGCAGAAAACTTTCCAAGCATGGAAAAAGAATTTGAAATACAGATAAGTGAGGCATATAGAACTCCAGACAGTCATAATCAGAAAAAGAATTCACAAAGGCGTATAATAGTCAAGATTTCAGAAATTCAGCACAAGAACAGAATACTGAAAGCTGTTGGAAAAAAGAAACAAATCATCTATAAAAAAAAAAAAATCCATCAAAATCCCAGCAAACTTCTCAACTCAAAACCTTAAGACAAGGAAAGCTTGGAGTGAAGTATTTCAAGCCCTAAAAGAAAACAACTTCCAACCCGAACTGCTATACCCATGTTTTCAGCAGCACAATTTATCATAGCTAAATCTTGGAAACAACCCATATGTCCATCAACAGATGAATGAAAAATAAAAGTTGGTATTTATACACAGTGGAGTACAGCCTGCCATAAAGAAGCCTGTCCACAAGAGATAGAGCAGTCTCCACGCTTCTCTCACGCCATGTGTGGTCCCATTGAGGATGGTTAACCTACTGCAGGTGTCACTGTCACACTGGTCTTAGGTCTGTTCCAAAAGCTCACATCTAGCCTGGCCTCCAACTCTGCAGTGTCAGTTTCCCTTTCGATAGTAATTCTCAGACTGTAGTTCAGTGATTCCCAAACTGTATACTCATACTGACTTAGTATAGTATCCGGTAACCTTTATCTGTTTATCCTCTTTTGACCAGGATTCCATTTTATTCCTTCACTTGTTTATACATTGATAAATTTGCTCAACAGATGCATATGAAGTATCTCCTATATGCCAGGTGCATGCCATAAAGCGCAGGCGTGGTCATCTGTGGTGACCAGGTATAGCATGGCCCATTCACACCACAAGTTTCCAGTGTAAAAGACCCCTTTCTCTCAAGTCCCTTTTCTCTTTGACAGAGGTTAGGTCACCAGGTCGTTGTTCCAAAACCTCACCTTCTCTTTTCCTAGCTGGGTACAAGTTATTGTGAGTAGTTTCCAGTTTCTGTCTTCCCCTTCAGACATAAAGTCTCACACATACAGAGCCCTGTCTTAATCACCAGTTTCCTGGCCCTCAGCGCCTTACTTGCCAAAAAGTAGGCTCTCTATAAATAGTCATTAAACACAAATTGCGTTGTTCTCTGTAGACTAGGCCTGAGGTGAATTGTAATAGCAGCAACAACAGCTTCTTAGACATTCAACAGCCGCATGTCTTTGCCTTTCATGCCAGAAAGCTGCTGGGCAGGACAGATTATTTTGGATTTCTGTGTCACTGATTTACTGCCCTTGACTTAGGTAACAGCACCAGCTAATACAAAGAGCATTGCACTATTGACCTCAAAACATAAGGGAACAAACAATACTCCCTTCCCTCTCCACCAATGGCATCAACACGGCGAAGAATGTAAGTGTTTTAACAAGTGGAATCTGCAAATCCATTTCTTCTCTTTGAAATCATGATCATCTACTTTGTAATACTATGCAATTTAGAGAGCTAATGTAGGTGAATGTAACTTTATGGAGGAAATCAAACAGAAAGTGGCATTAAAGAAACCCATTACTAATATATTGGATGCTTCTCACCCAGACATCAAGAGCCACAAGCATGCCCACATGAGCGTGATAGACAAGGGCAGTGAATGAGTGCACTAGCCTGACACTATAGCTCAAGATGCTTAGTTGACTCAAAACAACAGCAACAACAAACAAAAAGAAGTGCAGACAACATTTTTATAATGTATACACTCTGTTGACCGTTATGTTGGAATGGACCCAAAACATGGACGTAGGGTTAGACAGACCTGAGTCCAGTCCTGATGATAGCACTTACTACCTCTCTGCTCTCGGGTAGTTTACTTAACCTCTCCGAGTCTCAGGTTCCTCATCAGTGGTTTCAAGATTTGAATAAGATATCACAGTTTGGCAACTGAGGCTGGTATCTGTACAGCCAGTTCACTCCTTCATTCTACAGTTATTCATTGAATGCCTACTAATCTACCTCGTTTACCAAAATATTCCTGACCCTTAGGAGGCACCAATTGTAGAATAAATATTAGGTACCAGCTGCGTTGAAACATAAGTTCTAGTTTTCATCCACCTTCCTCCTGACAATGGTAAGAATGCCACAGAAGAAAGTAAAATGTGAAGGAACTTTTATTATGCTGTTGAACAGTATGCGAGAAGAAACTAAAAACAATGTACAAACTTGTGGAAGTTAATAGTTACCAACCATTGCTAGTTGATAAAATGTCACTGATTGAAAATGTAGTAATAATACATCACCTCAAAAGAAAAAAATTGTTTTAGTGTTCTTAACAGAGAGACTTCTTTTTAAATCAGCAAGAATCTGTACATCACTAAAGTAAAATCTTCTCCAGATTATTAACTTTTTCTCATTTGTATTTTGAAGGAAAATATTTTTATATCTTACTTTAATAAACACATACATATTTGGTTTCTCTGTCAGACTGTCTATTCCTCTAAGAAAAATTAAAACTTTAAAAAATCTTGAAGTTCATATTTACTCAGTATCAACAAATAGGGCACATTTAAACTCAATATTCTGTTTCTATAAATCTGAAGTACAAGAATTTGGGAATCCTATCTATACTGCCAAAAGAAGAAAAAAATTAAATGTCTCATACTATTGTCAAAATTCTGTTTCAAAGCAATATTTAAAACACTTCTGATCCAACTCAGTTAACTTGTTATCTTTCTAATAAAAACATTTTTAAATGTAATGAAAATGTTTCACTGTCCACACCAAAAAAGAAAAAAATTTTAACCAGTGTATTTACTGGATTTAGTTATTGACTTTGGATTTCCTTTTGATTCACGTGGGAGTTTTTAATCCTACAAGATTGCAACAATCAAATGAACAGATAAGAAAACATTGGTGCTTAGAGGAAGTGACAAAATGAGACAATATACTTGGTGTGCAAGCATGCTAACTAACATAGATGTAGGAAAGCTTCACTGGTAAGGAGTTTTCACCATAGTTCAAATGACATTGTTTTTTATAAACAATATAATATAAAGGAAAATGTACAGTGTACCAATAAAATGGAACATTGACTATGTATCATAGCATTGTCATAATAATTTTGACCAAGCAGCCACAATCTGTTAGTTATTTTAATAATGTTTAGAATTTTCAGAAATTTAATTTATATTAATAAAGGACAAAGTATGAGAGCTGGTTAGGATGAAAGAAAGAGAAAGAGCACAAAAGAGAAGTCTAGACGTTTTCTTCCCAGTATTTATCCCCCATAGCATAAGGCATGAATTGTTTCTGTTGTTATTCTGATTAATGTCTAAAAAAGACATACACATGATGAAGTATTATTCTTGGTCTTAATAACCTTTTTCTGGTACTGGGGATTGAACTTGGGACCTTGTGCTTGCGAGGCAGGCTCCGGAACCACTGAGCTAAATCCCTGGCCCTTGGTCTCAATAACCTTTTAAAAACCTGAATTACAGGACTTCCTGGAAACATAAGCATGTATGGTATATCTTGAGTGAGTTCATAATTTAGTCAGTGCCTCCTGAGTAGATCAAAATTTTTGTGCTTGGATTAAAATTTCTTTTTTTCCTTCAAACATTCTTTGTGAACTTGTGTGACATCCACACTAATTTATGAGAAATGTGATACTTATCTCCTGTAGGAATGCCCTGATTTCCCATCATTTTTTCTGAGTAAATGAATTCAAGAACTTTGGTGTTTCTAAATTAGGCCAATAGTGAAGAATAGTTGTATGACAAGCAAATAAGTCCTGCTGGGAAGATGTTGCTTAAGTGATAAAATGGCTCAGCCAACAACAGAACCAAAAAATTAAATATTAACTAAGGGAAGGTAACCATTTGTGAAGTCATGCCTACCAGGGAACCCAGGCATATATAGAGAGGGCAAAATCTCTCAAGTCTAAAGGAAAAGGGTGATTTCTTGGAACCTCCAGAAATTTAAAACCATGAAACATCTATTATTGCTACTATTGTGTGTTTTCTCAGTTAAGTCTCAAGCTGTTGATGACTACGACGATGAGGTGATTTCAAAAATATTATTTTATTACTAATATTGTTAATATTAAAAATAATGGAATCATAATCCTAGGAGAATAGTTATTTAAATGAAGTTTGAATTGACTGTAATTATAAAACTGAATGGTTAATCTCCAGGACCTATTTTACTTAGAGAATACTTCATGGTATTTCCTATATGAAAGCAAAATGATTTCTAATTTTCTGGTTTATCACCTTTATTTTCCCAGGTGGAAGATGATTTAGCTGATGTAAAATTTTCTTTTTTCATTAGTTGTTATCCCAAATACTGTGATTTTTACTTAGGTATAGCAGTACATTATTACAATTACAAGAGTAAAATTCAAAAATTAAAAGAGCTACACCATAGTGAACAGTATTTTAAAAGACAAAAGTTATGGTGGATAGGTTGGTCTTTTATGAAAGAGGCTAATATATAGCTCTTGAGATTATTTATTGTTTATGAATAAGAATTACTATCTAAGTTTAACAGCAGACTAGATCAAGTGTAATAACAGAAAGTAAAATACTGGTTTTTTTCAGATGGAAAAATTTAAATCAGATATAGTACTTACTGTTATTATTAATACTTATGAAATAACTCAGTCCAATTATTTTCATTTGTAGAACTATTTTTTCTCAAGTACTATCTTTACTAACTTCTTGTTATTGGTTTGAGCTTAACAAAAATATATAAATGCATTTAGGAAAATGAATATTTAAATGCTTTCAATTTTATTATCAAATGTATCATGATCCAGTTTCTTGTGTATGACATAGTATTATCACACTAGAGGTAAGAATTCAGAGTAATACTTAAAGGAATTGATTCATTTTGGGTAATTTGCTGAATTTGAAGAGATAATCTAGTTCTAATGATCAGATTGTGCATATTAAAAGATAATTGATTAATCACAGTAGGTAAAAAAATCTAGAAAATATGTGAGACTAAATTTTTGTAAAGTACTTTGCAAAGTAATTTCACACTGCTACTCACTCATCCTCCTAGAAACAGTTTAATAGTTTAGGTTACAAAAATGGATTTTCTAGTTTTAGCTCAACAATAAGTTGTCTTCATAGAGCTAAGTAAATATTTTTCATATTCGTTTCTCTAGTAAACCTAGACCATCAATGCTGTATCTCTAATATTATGCTATATTAGACTATCAGTGCTATATCACTAACATTACTCTAAAACAAAAAAGAAAAGTTTTCTTTTCCCTTTTTTTTCTTTTTTTTGGTACTGGGGATTCATCTCAGGACCTTGTGCTTGCAGGCAGGCGCAGCACCACTGAACTAAATCCCTAGCTTCTTCTTTATAATTTTATTTGACATCACTTCTCATAAAATTTGAATATCTCTGGTTGAAACTATGCCTTAGATTCCAAAAATATATACATGCTCCAAATCTTCGTGCATTAAGGATATGTGTGTGTGTGTGTGTAGTTCAGTGGTTAAGCAGGGAGATCTAGAGCCAATCTGCTTGGGTTTCAGTTCTAGCACTACCTCAATAAATTTTAAATGATATAATAATTTAATTAATAAATGATAATAAAATTCCAAATACAGTTCATTAGATGACTTTTAGACTTAATTGCAAGAGAGCTTAGCAACTGCCCAAGTTTTGTTATTTATTAATTTGTAATGTAAGCCCCTGATGGTATAACTACTGAAAAAGAATATGTGATAATATATTTAATCCAAACTAAAACTTTTATAATGCACTGCATATTTTCCACTTCATGACCTGTTAATGTTTTTAAGTTAGCAAATCTTCTTAATTACAACATAAAAACCTTGAGAATTATTTTATATATGATAAAATCATGGTATTTGACAAAGAAATCATGTAGGAAATTTCAAGAAAATGACTTAACCAATAATTTCATTGATTGAAGATAAGAATAAAAGTGGAATTAATAGTGGAGAAGCCACTTCAATTTTGCTATTGGTTATGTATGATTTCCATAAAAATATTAATGAGCACTTACAGTGCGTCAGGTGCTGCTCTAAGGGTGTCATATGTAAGTCATTTAGTCCTTTCAGTAGGCTTATAGAAGGCAGACACAAGCTATAATCATCCCTCTTCTAAGAGGAAACTAGACACAGATAGAGCAACTTGTCCAAGGTCTCATACCTAGTAAGTGTGGCGTCCCAACAGTCTGATTCCAGAGCACCTCATTCCTCTTAAACATGTTGAGTTCAAAGATTGTCTTGCTTTAAACAAAGTTTAAATGCATTTCACTTTCAGTAAATCTTTATTGTCTCTTAAATACAACTATATAGGAGTTAATCTGATCAGCAGTTCATAAAAGTTGAAAGTAGGTAAATGATTAACAATTACAGGAATTTAGTAATCCAAGAGGCTTGAGAATATTCTTTCTCCTTGTCAGTACAGATTCCTGACAATTTTTTACGTCCCATTCTTTAGGTTTCAAGAATCTGAGGTCATGTCTGTTCAAAATCTGGTGTTGCTTTGGGTTAGGGCCACTTAAAACTTCCCTACGTGCAGTAACTTTATGTGCGGTTGTTCTCTCATCTGTTACTGAAGACCCATGAACGAATAGCCTTGTGAAGCAATGCCAGCAACCAGCCAGTGGATGGACCCTGAGCCCATCATCTGGCTTGTGACTCCCTCGACTAGGAAACTAGGAAACAGGGTGTTGAAACTGCTAAACCTCGGCTCTTCTCTAACGCTCTGCACTTGCTTTCCGTCTGGTTCCCTGTAGGGGCTCCTGGATGCCCGTGGTCATCGGCCCCTTGACAAGAGGAGGGAAGAGCTTCCCAGCCTGAGGCCTGCCCCACCGCCCATCAGTGGAGGTGGCTATCGAGCCCGTCCAGCCAAAGCAGCTGCGAGCCAAAAGAAAGTAGAAAGAAAAGCCCCTGATGCTGGAGGCTGTCTTCATGCCGACCCAGACCTGGTAGGTGTATTGATGTTTCTGTCCAGAAACAGCCTAATGTCCCACCGACCTGCGTTATCACTATTGTTTGCTTGTTTGGGAAATAAAAGTACAATACTAAGATTAATTGGGCCTTTGGTTTAGGCTTCATTTCTTGTGTTGTTTGATCTGGGCCCTAGAAAATAAATTAGGACATGTGGGTATTGCTTTTATTTTATATTTTGCCTACTTCCTTTGTTCAGGTGGGTAAAAATTTTCATAGTCCAATTATATTTCTTCATGGTAAGGACCATTCTTAATTTTTATTAGATATGATGATAATTACAGTTTCTTGCCTGCCATAAGGAAAATAAAGTATTAAGTATCCATGTTGACTAATGAAAGCATTGACTTGATTATGTGCTATTTGAACAAATATCCAAACCCAAGTCCCTCATCTTACACATGCTGTTTCTTTGTTGGCAGGGGGTGTTGTGTCCCACAGGATGTCAGTTGCAAGACACTTTGCTAAGTCAGGAAAGACCGACCAAAAACAGTATTGCCGAGTTAAACAACAATGTGGGGTCTGTTTCCCAGACCTCCTCTTCCAACCATCAGTATGTGACTCTGCTGAAGGACATGTGGAAAAAGAGGCAGGAGCAAATGAAAAGTAAATGCCTTTATGTTTTCCATTTGATTCTCAGAAATAACATCAGAACTGTTCACCATGAGAATGCATGATTATGAGACTGCCTTGTCTAGACTGGTCTCAATCCCATACACACTGCTTTCTGTAAATACTACTGCGTACTAAATACATGCTGCCTGGTTATCCTGAGGCCCTTCCCCTAGCACCTTCATCTGCAGTTGGCCACATAAACACGATGCAAGCATTATTTTCAGTGTAGCACCAGGATAATTTCCTATGAAAATTTTCACTGAGATTCCTTAGCTTTAGCCTATATGAAATTTGTCTTGTGACTCAGAAGATAATTTTCGCAAAGGAAAAATGTGACATTTACAGGTTTTGAGTATGTGAGAGTAATCCATGACATATGAAACTGACTGGCAAATAGTAATTCCTGACCTGTGAATCTTGAGATCCAAATGCTGAGCGCTACTGGCTTGGTGATTAGGAATCAGCTAGTGGGGAAGGCTTCCCAGTGAGTAGCATTCCCAAGTTTGTACAGTTTCCAAAGAAATCATGGCATCTCGCTTGTAAATTTCAAGGTTCTACATAAAACAGTGGTGGCAAACTTATGGCACTCGTGCTGTAGCATGCCGTTTGTTATCACTGAAAGCTCTAAAAGGCTTGCCATCACTGGATAAATCAAGTGTATGCACTCCATATGGCGTTGAGCTTATGAGATGGAAATCTCAGGTACTGTTTTCTCCTCTTTTCCTCGCCAAGGAAACAAGCAATCAATTTTATTCATTATTAGACATTGTCTTCACACTTACAGTAAATTACTGGTGTGATCATTGGGCTGTTTTAATTTGTGTATGCCACGAACTAAATGATTTCTGAACGCTCTATACCATAGTTGCTCAATATATAGCTATGTCAACCTCAATGTCTACTCATATATTATCAGAAAATAAAAATCATTATTATGGAGCTAAACGCAATTAGTTTTTTGTGAGGTAAAAAATGCTGACCATTCCTACATAATTTCATTTTTCCAGATAATGAAAATGTCATAAATGAATACTCCTCAGAACTAGAGCACCACCGAATATATATAGATGAGACTGTGAATACTAATATACCAACTAACCTCCGTGTGCTCCGCTCAATCCTGGAAAACCTGAGAAGCAAAATACAAAAATTGGAATCCGATGTCGCAGCTCAAATGGAGTACTGCCGCACGCCATGCACTGTCAGCTGTAATATTCCTGTAGTGTCTGGCAAAGGTAACTAGCTAATGATCATTATTTCTGTGGGGTTCCAGAAGAAAACACACTCTCTAAAAATGAGAATGCTGAAAAATAAATGCAGTGGATGTTACCCAAAGAGAATACTGTTACAGCAGATCATGAAGATGTTTTTAACATGTTGTATTCTGCCTTGGCCTGAGAACTTTGCCAGTTGCTGCTCTGAAGGATGGAATATTGTGCTGCTGGTAGTTTTCGGGGAAGGGGGCTGGTATGTGTACATGTGTGCTAGTGTGAACAGATGACAGGGCCATGGAAAGAGATAGAAATTTCCTCATCCTGTTGGCTCTGTCTGTGGATGTGCCAGGGCATAACAAATGGAAAGGGCTTCTTTTTTTATTTGCTAGGCAAATAGAATCCCTTGAAACTAAGTTCAATTTTCGGTAAAAGGAAAATCCAATTTCTATATTATTCTGAAATGTCTACAAGAAAACAGTCCTTCATAACTTATGTAAGCAGTTATAAGAAGTGGAAACTAAAGATCAAGTAATTACGTTGTTGAGAACTGACCATAACACGTTATCTTATGCCTGCAGAATGTGAGGAAATTATTAGGAAAGGAGGTGAAACATCTGAAATGTACCTCATCCAGCCAGATAGCTCCGTCAAACCATATAGAGTGTACTGCGACATGAGCACGGAAAACGGAGGTGAGGCATGAGCAGTGGTTCATTGTCACCAACTCGAATGCCAGGAGAGATGACCTCCCTCTAACACAGCTGGCTATGAGCTATTCGATTTGGAATTTAATCTAATATTGACGGGGGGGTACCGGGGATTGAACTCGGGACCTTGTGCTTGCGAGGCAGGTGGCAGAACCACTGAGCTAAATCCCTGGCCATAATCTAATATTTTAAGTTTAAAAATATCTATGATTCATGACTTGCAGTAAGATAAAGCATTTATCATTTTCAAAGATTTTAAGAGCATTACTCTCCATTTCCTTTTTATATCTATGTTGGAAAAAAGTATGTGAGTTGGAATGAAAAAATTGAATGAACAAGGCATTCAGATACTGCCTTCCAAGTGACACTGTCTGTCATTGGTTAACTTCTGCTGCTTTTGTTTCCATCAACCAAAGGGTGGACAGTAATTCAAAACCGTCAAGATGGTAGTGTTGACTTCGGCAGGAAATGGGACCCATACAAACAAGGATTTGGAAATATTGCAACCAGTGCAGAAGGGAAAAAATACTGTGGCCTACCAGGTAAAAACTGGAAATACTAAGTAAAAACATTCTATTTAAAATGAGATTTCTTTCTGTTAAAAAAAAAAAAGCACTAAGTGTCAGGAATCTGTTTTTAGGTTTTAAGCATTCAGTGGAGTTTAGATATAAAAATGTGGAAGCAGAGTATAAGAACACAAAAGCAGGTTTTGGTTTGTAAAGGTTTGCTTTTGGTAAGATTCTATTCTATTTTTCCTTTAGGTGAGTATTGGCTTGGAAATGATAAGATCAGCCAGCTTACTAAAATGGGACCCACAGAGCTCTTAATTGAAATGGAAGACTGGAAAGGAGACTCCGTAAAGGCGCAATATGGAGGATTCACGGTGCAGAATGAAGCTAACAAGTACCAAGTCTCAGTGAGCAAATACCGAGGAACAGCCGGCAATGCTCTGATAGAGGGCGCTTCCCAGCTGGTGGGGGAAAACAGGACCATGACCATCCACAATGGCATGTTCTTCAGCACCTATGACAGGGACAATGACGGCTGGTATGTGTCACATTCCTCCTGTTTTAAAAGTCTCCACTAATATTTTTACTCAATATTATTTATAACAGCTAATGTCATTCATTAGAACCTGACTGTCGGCAGCTCTACAGAGCTCTTTATTTCTCACTCTAAAGCATTTTGGCTATGTGTAAGGTAGACATTGTTCTCATTTTACAGGTGAAGTTTAGAGAGATGAATACATTTTACACAGTAAACCCCTCACCTCAAAAAATATGGTAGAATGAGAGGGGTGATGGGGGGAATGATGAAAGTAGGTTATGCGGATTACAGATCTGCCAAAATGAAACTCATCAATCCCTAGAGCCGATATGCACTAATACAAAATGTGACAGAAAAGAGATTGTGTAATTTATCCAAGTCACACAACTTCAAAGAGGTAGAACTGGAATTACAGCACAGTCACTTTCTGAATTATAAGTATTTAGAAGATATCTATAGATCTATATTGTAATGTGCATATGAAAAGCTTTATTTTGTTTTCCAAGGTTCTGTAATACTAAAGCAATCCCCACCCCTTTTTTTGCTATTGGGCAGAGAAAGCCTTTGGTATAGTAGCAGAACTTCATATATAGAACCCAAGGGAAAGAGCACCACATACAACTGAGTATGACATTCTCCTGTGGGTACTGTACAACGAATTAATGTGACATATTAATGACATGTTTCTGATAACCCCAAACATGTTTTCTTTCAGGATAAATGCAGATCCAAGGAAACAGTGCTCTAAAGAGGATGGTGGTGGGTGGTGGTATAACAGATGTCACGCAGCCAATCCCAATGGCAGATACTACTGGGGTGGGCAGTACAGCTGGGACATGGCCAAGCACGGCACGGATGATGGCGTGGTGTGGATGAACTGGAAGGGATCCTGGTACTCGATGAAGAAGATGTCTATGAAGATCAGGCCCTTCTTCCCACAGCAGTAGTTTCCCAGGTGTAGATTTTTATTCTTCGGTATGCAGCAACATTTTTTACATTATGTTAAGAAAATTGCCTTTCACATGTTATATCCCTTTAAAATTCTTGAATGGTTGTAAGTGACTTTTTGGAAAAGGGATAGGATAAATTACATTAAAAACGGCACACAATTTGCTTGTGTATTCTTCATTTATCTTGCTTACCTAGAAGTAACTGAGAGGATAATGGTGGGCAGAGTCAGTTGATTCCAGTTGATTGTGAGAAATTTCACATTAGGAAGAGGGATCATCTCTCCTTGTAGAAAAATGAGGAGACAACATAAAATCTTATGTTTAAAGGTATACTTTCAACCCCTATTTATTTATGTAAGATCTGTCATAGAAAACTTTCAAACAGATGTATTAATTAAACCATTCTTTGTTGCAATAAATTAATGTTTCCTTATTTTGTGATTCACTCAGCCAATGAGATAGACTTTGATTGGTAGGAGGCAGAAGTATTAGCAACCTTAAGTGTCTAGGAAACTGAAATTAAACATTTAGAGTTAAAATCTTACTCTGTGTCATGGGGAAAAAGCACTACTATGCTCCACTACCATACAGAGAATAAATAGATCCTGTCCACTTGAGGATCAGGATCAGAACTTCCACAAGGGCAGTGAGGATCAAGTCTTCATCACTACTTCTTAAGGGAAGTAGTGAAATAGGAGGCAGAGTTTGCCTATTGTCCATCGAGACAAGGGTTTTCCTTTTACATAGTCATACTAGAACTAAAGTAGGAGTGATTTTCTGTTCTTCCCATGTCCTCCTACGAATTGGGCATATCATCCCAACATTGCTTCAGTGCACCTCCAATGCGCCAGGCAGCTGTCATACCCTCTGTCCTCATGGAACTTAATGTCCTGAAGCCCATCCTCTTAATACCTGCAACTAAACAAAGGTGATTAGTTTCTCAAGATTGCTGCTACTCTCTTAATTCCTCATCAACTCTAACTTCAACTCTTACCTAGTTTCCTTGCCACAAATTCTGTCCCCTGTGGCTGTGCTCCGTCGTCTCATACATTGTCTGAAAAAATAGAAAACTCTGGCCAAGTCACTTTCCTGCCTAATGTTAGTTCTTTGCTATCACATCCAAATTCTTTAAATAAAAATTTCTAATTTTAAATTAAAATTCCCTAGTTTTAAATTTAAAATTTCCAGTGGTTTTATTGAGGAACAGTTCATATATAAAACAAAACAAAAATGCAATTTTCTGGCATCCCACTGCCAGAAAAACCTGCCACACATATTTAACATTAATAATTTGATAAATTTGAGCACACATATACACGTGTTACGACCACCATGATCAAGGTGTTGAACACACCCATTACCTCCAAAGTTTTCTAGTGTCCTCTTGCTTTGTTTTGTTTGGTTGGGTTGTGGTAAGAACATTTGACCTGAGATCAACCCACTTAACTAATTTTTAAGTGCACAATATTGTATTATCCATAGGCACTGTACCATACAGTCTCTAGAACCTGTTCATAACTATAACTTTGTAAGTTTATAATAAAAAAAAATTCCCCTTTCCCATAACCCTGTCTCTTGACAACCACCATTCTGTTTCCTGCGTCAAGTATGACTATTTAGAAACCACGTAGTACTCTTGCACACTGTTGGTGAGAATGTAAAATAGTGAAGCCATGTGGAAAACAAATATACACTCCTCAAAAATATTTTTAAATAGAATTACTATAAGACTAAAGATCCCACATCTGGATCTGTATCCCAAAGAACTAAAATTGGGATCTTGAAAAGATACCCACTCTCCTGTGTTCATTGCAACATTCACGATGGGCAGGCCCCTTATACAGTGTTCTCATTGTCGACAGCATATCTTCCCAACACAGTAGCTATTCATTTTCTAACCTCACTTTAACCACCAGCACCCAGAGAACGCTTTCTGAAGCGCTTGGGGAATTTGTGTTACTCTTCAGCAAATAATAGCAGTCAGTGACCTGTTAGCATGATACACATTTCTTCACTAAGGAGTTCTTGTTCTGCTTTCGTTTTAGAAATATTAGCTTGTCAGAAAGGCTGATTTTCCCAATTTATAAACATTGAAAAGCTAAACCCATTATCAAAATTAGATTATCGAAAAGATTATCAAAATCTTGGTTGTCTACGTTTTTATATCAAACTCGTTTTCCAACAAAGGCTCACATAGAAGCAAAATACTTAGAACTTTTGAGACAAGACTAAATGTAGAAAATTTTCTCTGGCTGAAGGGGGCTGGGGAGAGTCCAGTCATTAGACCTTTGCTCAGCCCTTTTGGCACACACAGAGGCCCTAATGATCCCTAGAGCTTAAAGTAAAGCCACAGATAGAAACCACTGAAGTTGCCAATCTAATGGTCAGTTGTTAGCTAACATACAAATACCAGGAACTGATTCCCCCTGGGTAATATGTAATACGTAAGTAAACTTTCTTAAAACATCATTTGATAAGAAATGCTACATATCTGATTTTTCCAATTCAGGCACCATGATTTTGAATATAGTAAGGTTGCTCTAGTTAGAATATAGAAAACAGTGTCTAAAACAATTATTCAACCATTTCTTTTTTTTATTCATTAAGTTTATTGGTACATTTTAGGTATACATTATGATCACATTCATCATTGGGAATTCATACCTATACATAGTATATCTTGATTCTTATTTTTTTCCTTCCCCCTTCCTCCCTTCCACCCCTCCATGAAGATAATATAAAATTATAAAAATTAGTTGAAAGTTAATTAATTGGCTAATCTCATCATATGACATGAGAAGCGTAATATATTTTATTATACAATTAAGACTGAAAGTTGCAGCAAATTATAAAGATCTTTGCACTTGGGACATAAACCTCTAGTTCCTCTGCATTTAGGAAATGAGAAACAGTTGATCAGTGTGAGCAAGGGATAGTCTTTTTTTCTTTTGGTACTGTGGGATCGAACTCAGGTCCTTGAACTTGCGCAGCAGGCGGCGAAACCACTGAGCTAAATCCCCAGCCCAAGGGATAATCTTTTTGAGCTGACCACGGAGATCCCACATGGAACAAAACTATGGATAGTATGATGCCTTGCCAGCTTCAGTAGGTCAGGTGATCTTTCTGTTTAATCATTACACCTTTAACATCTTGTACACTGATCATGTAAGCCTGCAAACTTTTTTTCAAATATAAATTTCCCGGTACTAATCTACGTTTATTACATCAGAGTCTCTTCCACATGGAAAGAGCCAAACAATTTCTGTTTTTTCAATAAATATCCCAAGAGTTTCTGGTCCCTGGCTGGATTTTGGAATTGCTGACACAGGCTACATTTTTATTTATCTGGAACTGCCTTTATTTTCTTACTTAACATCTTTCTCATTCAAATGGCAACCATGACATATTTTGAGAATTCTTGAAGCTCCCATTACTGTGTTCATAGGTGACTCCTGCCTAGGTATAAAACTGGACTTGGATTCAACATGTCTCTAAAGGTAAAAACCCCTGTCTTGGCTCTGCTCCCCTCATTGTCAGGTGGCTCTTTAGGTACAAATTGGAGCTCTTTTGACTTGCCTTCATCGTTTTTTACATACTGCTGAATCTGACGGTTGAATCAACCACTACCTTTTATCTACTTCTCTTAGCCAAGATATGATAAGAAGGTAACATTTTTTATTGCTGAATTACATTTATTTCTCCTCTTAATATTTTACTTTGAAAATTTTCAGCCTTACGAGACATATCTCGTTGTCCTTCACCCAGAGTAGCTAATTGTTTGCTGTGTTTGCCTTATCTCTCAAAAGGAGACATTTCAGTGAAGTTTTGCAACAGTTTAGGTGGCCACACAACCTAGAGGTCATAGCCCTGTTGGGGATGGGACAGGCAAAGGTGAGTTTAGTAAATATTTGTCCAGAGTGCTCTGTAGCAATCCATATCCAATTTCAGCAATGAGCTGATGGCTAGGGAAACCACTGCTTAGGAACTGAACCTTTCCCAGCTCAAGGCTTGGAGATCTCATCAGTTTCCTGGGTTCTGTGTTTTGAATTGGTGTTTTAACCACATGGAAATGGAAGACATGATGTCCAACTGTTTTTCAAGAATTAATTTGAATCTATTCTCCTCATGATACTACTCCCCTCCAGAATGTGTAAGGCCTTTTCTGCCTTCATTCTCAATTAATTATGGATCTTTCTCCGTAAAAATTTATGAAATACTTGGAAGTCAGTTACAAACAAGGAATGAGTAAAGTAATGAATGCATAAGTAAATAAATTGAAAATAAGATATCTGAGAACTAGTTTCTCTGTACAGTTTTTACCTACAAGAAACTTGTATTATTTTCATGGCTGTCAACATCTAAATGTTGCTACTCTCAAATTATTTTAGCAAATAGAAAATGTTGGATTACTTTACTCCAATATTACAAGAATTTAATTTATTATTTTGCATCCTGCATGTACTTATATTGTTATGGGATTACTTTTTTTCAGGGTTTTGTAGACCTGATTTGAAATTAGTCAACTTAGCTATATCCACTAGCCACACCCTCAGAATTAGCTAGCTTGGAAATATATTTTGTTTTCTTATTGAATCGGGAGTATAATTAGATGAGTAATAACTTTGAAAAAATAATTAAAAGCCAATACTATAAAAAAAAGTCTCATCTTAATCTGTGAACTTCAGTATCATTATCCTAGAATGAATAAAATAATGAATCTGAGGTGGTGAGAACCTATAAGAATATAAGAACAATATTGTGAGCCACAATCCCAGATGTGCCTTGTATCATCATATTATTTACCCTAAATTACTATTTTTCCACTGGAAAAATTAATTCATAAAATGTTCTCAACTTTACTGAAGAACTCTAGTAATCATTGGTTATTAATTACAGGTATCATTATAACATTTTGTGGAAATTTAGTTCCCCAAATTCCTTATTCAAAAGTGTTTACAGAAGCTAAAAGAATATATGTAAATAAAGTAGTGAATTAAAATGTAAATAATCTCTTTTTAATATAAATTGAATATGACATCTTAATTAACTTAGTTATATCTCCAGTGATAGAGAGGATTTATGTATTGAGTAAGAGGTTGAAATAGAAGAACTTAAAAGTTCTTTCTAAAAATTAGATTCTTTAATTCTTAAAAATTTATTGGATCATAATTTTGTGTCAAGCCTTGTATTTAGCACTAGATATAAAATATAGTCCCTTCACTTAAGAAAAGGGTGATTAATTGAGAAATCGGCTAGTATTATGACTCTAAAGGAGAACAAGAAAGTCTTCAGGCTAGAAGATGGAGGGTGTTCACTTATGTTAACTTGAAATATGGCTACTTTTTATAGTCTTAACTCAGGATCAAAATCCCTACCTAGTTCAGTGTTTTGTTCCCTGGCACAAATATTTAAAATCATGTACTGTCTTGGCAAAGTTTTCAGGTTCATATCTATTTTGTTCGTTCATTCATTCATTTATTCATTCAACTGAGGGCTAGTTTGAAATGGATAACCTAAAGAGAATTTGATCATTAATTATAGAGGAGAGGCCATTATGAATAAGTGAGTCAAAGTTAAGAAACGAGGAAAAAGTATTTAAAAATAAATACAAAATTGGGTTTAAAAATTTCATCCATTATTTATTTATTTATTTTTTGGTACTGGGGATCGAACTCGGGTCTTTGCGCTTGCGCAGCAGGTGGCAAAACCACTGAGATAAATCCCCGGCCCTCATCCATTATTTATAAGAAAGCCTTCTAAATAAATTGTAAAAGAGATTGAAATAAAGGGGCACACAAGAATTAAGAAAAGAGGAAACAACAACAAAATTACATATAAAACAAAATTGTGTTTAAAATTTTACTTTAGGAAAAGTCTTCTAAAAAGTGACAGAGATATATTCCAAAAAAGTGGAAAGAGACATGAAACTAGAAGTGATGACAATGTTAATATTTGTCAGCTAGAATTCAATTCCAAATGAAGAAACAGAAAAAAGGGAAGGACATTCATCAAAAGTACACAAAATAAGAACCAAGAGAGATGATGTAAAGATGCAAATTTCCAATGATGAATGTCATTATATTGTATACCTACAACATACCAATAAAATTAATCAAATTTTAAAAAAGAAAAAAAAATACCATCCACAGTGGAGACACAACAACCATAAGCTTTCGCTGGATAATGAAGGAGCCAAATTTACAAATCAAAATTCCTAGAACACAGAGATCACAAACATACACAAAACCAGAGTGAAATCTTATTGTACATACACAAAAATATGCAGGCATTCGTAAATATAGACATGAATCTATAAATCCCTATTTTAGAATATGATAGTTCAGTCACATAAAATAGAAGAAGGATATTCTTAATATAAAATGTTTAAATACTACCATCAGCAGGCTTAGCAATAAAGTATTATAACCTTTAAATGTAGAAATATACATTCTTTTCTTGCCTATGAAACATCTACAAAAATTAATCTGTTGATACATAAAGAAAGCCTAAAAATTCTGAAATATTTATACAGCAGTAATTTTTAAAAAGTAATACAATTTATAAAATTTTTGACAATATATCATTTGAGATAACTCACTCTAATTCCCTTAAAAGATAACAAATTATAAATTAGAAAACCTTGGGCCAGGGATTTAGCTCAGTGGTTTCACCACCTGCTGCACAAGTGCAAGGACCTGAGTTTGACCCCCGGTACCAAAAAACAAAACAAAAAAAAGACAAATAAATTATAAAACCACATCCAAGTTGTCCCTAGGAGGAAAAAAAAAGTGAAAATGAAAATTATAGCTTTTCTAGACTAAAGCACAGAAAAGAAAAAAACTACAGGGATAAAAGGGAGACTATGTTTTACTTTAAAATGGTTAAAGTGGTACAATCATAGGAAAGAATCTATATATAGATCCAGAGAAAAAAATTTTACAATAAAATTATCATTTCAATTTGATACGCAAAGAATGCTTTATTTAATAAGTGATCCCAATACAACTGGCAACACCAACAGCAACAAAACCCAAAGTACACTTTCTTCATATTAAAATAAATTCCATATTAAATATATAAATATTAAGGAAAAAATTTAAAGAAACATTTAACATTTATTTGTATAATCTTAAAGTGAGTGAGAGAGCCTCATGTAGGACAGAGTATCTTATAGCCTGAGCTCTGAGTTAAAGGAATTCATGATCTAGTACCACAAATAACATAAAAATGTTAGTTTTGAGGTATGAATGAAAACAATGAGGCCTCAGAGAGCAATGCAGTTCTTTTAATGGCAGACATTAGGGAAGGGTTCACAAAAGCAGCATTAATTGAACTGTTTTTAAAGGGGGTGAAGGGGCACCTTCCGGTCAGTACATGGGAACGTATAGTTATTAGAGGACCCGCTGATCCAGTACCAGTGAAAATGGCAATGTAATTGAAGTACAGAATGAATGGTTGAGGAAGCTGAAAATGGACCAATCTGTGAAAGAGTTCATCTGCCCAGCTTAGAAATGTCAATTTAACTGCATTATTTTTCACTTGCTTGGGCTACTGAAGGTATGAGGATGGTCACATCAACCCAAGAGAAAAAGGACTCACTTTTGAGAAAACATGGTTCAGCCAAGAGTAGTTAATTGTAGATCTTAACGTCTCTTCTTCTTTTCCGCTTCCTCCTACTCCTCCCCCTCCCCAACCCCCCTCCCATTTCCCCTCTCTTCCTTCTCCTTCTCCTTCTCCTTCCTTCTCCTTCTCCTTCTCCTTCCTTCTCCTTCTCCTTCTTCTTCTTCTTCTTCTTCACAGAGTTTTAACCAAAGCCTTGACCTCAAGCCTACAGCAGACTTATCCCAGCCTCTCTTGCAGCTATGTCTACCTATCCGATCAAGGTGTGGCTGATAAGGTTTAGGTAGAAGTGCTCATGAATAGTCCAGCATGTCCCATAAAAGAAAGAGAAGACTCTTATTCTTTTTCCAGGCTGTCACAGGATGTGATGTTTGGACAATTAGGGCAAGCTAGAGTACAGACACCATCACAAGGATGTTGGGGGCTTCTGGAAGACTGTAAGGATGTATTCTGTGAGGCATCAGTTTCTGCCTTGTTGAAGCTACGAGTGCCCATGCTCATCCCAGTTGTTAAAGATGAGTGTGAATGGTATTGTAATGAGAAATGCTTGTATTTAAGGACCTGTTTCAGAAAAAAAATCATGACTGGGAAAGGTGAGGCAGGAATGTCGTCTCGCAGAAACCAAGAGAGCAAGACAGATTTAAGAGGTAAAAGGGGGACAAAATAGTAGCAGATGTTGAAAACAGCCATGTGGGAAATGTAGGTTGAATGCAGGAGCTTAGATTCAGTCACAAAGTCATTGTTGACATAAGAAAAGCAATTTTAAGAAAGTAGTAAATTTATGACAGCCAAGTTAAAGTGGGTTTCTCAGGGAATGAGAGGCAATGAATTAATTTCAGGGAAAGGAAAATAAAACAATAGGTTAAAGACCAGCTAAGGAGGAAAAGAGATGTTTGATACCTTTGCTCACAACCGAACTCTATCTCCCACCATCTTGATTCAGCTAATATCCGCTATTGTTTATTAAACTGAAAGGTTACTTAATCCTTTGATAAGAAACTCTAAATCTTCAAAATATTAGGAACAATCAGCCCTTCTCATTCATAACCGGGTTCATTCTTTTCCGTTACATAGTATGTCATTCTCAAAAGCAAATATTTTCTAATCCCAACTCAAATTCAGTGGTGGCATATTTTTGAACATAAGTGGGCCAGGATGGAGATGATACAAAACCCTGATGTCGAAAGAAACAAGGCTTCTCTTAACTCTGAAGAAGTTCTCATTCAATTATCCAAAGATTTGGAAGTATCACTTATTTCTATCAAAGGTGTCCAAAGCCACATAAGGAAATGCAAAAACACTTCATATATGATGCATTAGCAAGCCCTTGTGCCTCATTCCTCAGGCCCTGTCCCCAGCTCTAATGCCCTCTCTTCCTCCACTCTGCCTCCCTTCTTCCCTCCCCTCTTTCTATCCCTCTTTCTTCCACCCTTTCTCTCTTCCCTCTTTTCCTTCTTTCCTTCCTTCTTTCTTTCCTCCCTGGAAGAAAAAATAATTACCTTGAGATAGAAGCTATATGAGAAAGGGTGATATGCTAGATTGCTTGAGATATTTTAATACCTATAGAGTGTCAATGACAAGTAATTCTTACTAGAAAAGAATATGAATTAAATACTGGGGGCAGGAACCAAGCCCACCAAGATAAAGATGTAACTTGATCAAATGAAACATTGACCAATAAAAATATGTTGAATTTATGAAAATGGTCTAGATCATATTTAGTGAGATGCTTTCAAACTATGATTTATTTTTAATAGCAACAAATGTGTCATAGGATATAGTTTATGGTTGGTATAAAAGTGAGGTCAAATCAATACTGGGAGGATTGTCTAGCAATGTGTAAACTCAATATCTGTTTTTGAAACACTTGCAAGTTTTCTGAAGATTTTAAATGCTTTTTTTTATGTGCTGGAAAAAAAAACAAAACAAGTTTGCATTATGTTCTGTACTGGAAAACTTAAACAATAGATCTCCATTTCTCTCAATCAGAATGTTTTTCCTGCTTTCCTGGATGTGCTTGCTAACAGAAGAGATGAAAATACTCTGTAAAATGTGAACTCCTCTACACAGACCACTGTTCAACTCAATGAGTTTTAACTTAAAATGTCAGTTTATGAATATTTAAACCAAATTTCTTTACTTTCCAATAGGCCTATGACTTCCAGGGCTGTGGAAAGAGAAGTTTCAAGCTGACCCCCTGCAGGGCTGCAGAGAGGACTCCTCTAATCTGCCTCCCTCTCTGTGATGCAATGCATGTCCTTTACCATACCTTTATAAATATTTGAAAACCCACAGAGCTATTTGAAGATAAAAAAATTCTGTATACTTTATTTTGCAAAGCACTGATATATCTCAGTTCCATTTAGCTACAGTACAAAGGATAATAAAATAGCACCTGGAAATTTTTTAATAGGTTGTAAAGAATCTTGACTCTTGTTCTTCATTTTCTTCCTATTTTGCTAAAGGACAGAAACAAACCTCCCCCTCCCACCGGCTCAACCATCAGGTTGCCGTTGGCCTTATTTTCATGCGCACAACCCTGAGGGAATAGTCTGCTCCTTTAAAGGGGACCCAGACCACGCCATTCTCTGTCTCATAAGGGCTGTTTTCCCTGGGGTCATAGGTGCCCCCGGGATAGTAGATGCCATTGAGGTTGGCTGCCTGGCAGTTATTGTACCACCAGCCTCCTCCGTAGACTTCCGCACAGTTCTCCTCCCACTGGTCTGCATCCCTATCAAAGGTACTGAACTGCATCCCATCGTGAGAAGTGTATTCTGCCCCCTCCTCCACAGAACCTTCGACCAGGGCATCGCCAGCGCTGCCCCGGTAGGAGGAGACCTTCAGGACGTAGCCCTGGGCCTCAGAGCCCACCTGCAAGTGATACTCTGCAAACGCCCCCTTCCCAGCCCAGTCCTCTAACTCAACCCTGAGGAGCGAGCCCCTCTGCGTGAGTAAGTGGAGGTGGTCATTGCCTAGCCAGAATTCTCCTTCTCCCTTGTCATTCAGGCTGCCGAAACCTCTCTTGTAGTCTTGCCAGGTCCGGTTAAAATTCAGTGATCCATCCATTCTTTGCTGGATCAAAAGCCATCCTCCCAAACTGGTCTCTTGATCGCAATAAACAGAAAAAATCTTACTGGATCCTGGTGGCTTGATATTGAAAATGCCACTCTGGGCACCTGAAGGATGTGTTTGGAGGACATCATCACAGTCTAAAAAACAAATTAAGCTGGTTGGAGGAAGTTACTCTCATTTAGCTTTACAAAGATAGGCATGGCCTGGATTAAACAGGGCAAACACTGCTTTTCTACCTCCCTTCCTTCTTTCCTTCCTTCCTTATGCCCATGAGAAAAGGATGCACCTTCACTGGGATATAATTTTATGCAAATGAGGGAAAGTTAAATCTACAAAATGCAAATTTCCTCAATGGATTTGGAATTTTGCTTGCACATACTAACTAATACCAAGTAACCATCAAAAGTACTTAAGCATCAATTAACATTGATACACCTTGGGGGGATTTATTTAGCTCAGTGGTTCTGCCGCAGCCTGCCTCACAGGCGCAAGGTCCCAAGTTCGATCCCCGGTACCAAAAAAAACAAAAACAAAAACAAAACATTAATACACCCTATTTTCTAACCTGTTCTAAATGTCAACTGAGACCCACACTAAATTATGATTAGTTAATTGTGTGACAATCCCAATAGCACTCATTTCAAATGGTGGAAGAATTTGGTCAAGCAAACTAAAAACCGAGTTTCCGAAGGATTCATTCATTCATTGAACATGTGTTTATTGAGTGAGGACACCCTGCACTGTGAGGGGTACAGAGATGCACAACAGACAAAGTCCCTGCCCCAGTGGAACTTACAGTCTAGCATGAAAAACAGATCAAAAAAGTGTAATTTCCATAAACTGTGATAGAAGGTTAGGAAAGAAGAGCAAGGTGCTTTGGGAGCACTTTTCAGAAATAATTAGCTTAGTTTAGGGGGTCAGGGAAGGCTTCCCCAAAGGAGAAGTGTGGATACCTCTAGAAGGGCGAGCTTTAGCATAGCCTCTCTTGATGCCGTGTGCGTCTCCCAGGTCCTCATGATGGGCTTCACTTCCAGCCTCATCTGCCATTTTCAAGCTCTTGGTTTCAAATGTGGAGCCTCCTTTATTGTAAGTTGTGCTACTACTACTTGCTAGTTGCTGTCTGTGACTTGTAGTACCACTGGTGGAATACTCAGGGATTCCAAAGGTATGAGAGCCAGAGTCCTCTATGTCTGTGAAGAAGGATGATTCTGTGCCCCTAGAATGGGTCTTACTGCTGAACTCTTTGAAGGAAGTTGAGGGTAAGAATACTTTTCCACTTGAAGATGTATCAAAGAAAGAAGCTTCACCGGGGTGCCTCAGGGCAAATTCATCGAGGCTGCCGTGGGTACTAAAACCATGCAGCATGTCTAAGTCTGGGCCACCCCCACAGTCCGCGGGATCTTCCGAGTTCACCACTTCTTTGGTCACCTTTTTGCTACCATCAGAACCAACAACAGTCTTAGTGACTGTTTTAGAGCATGAATGGCGTGAAGTGGTTGTGCCAGTAGAGGTGACCTTCTCGTCCCCGATCACAAGCTCCTTGTCTCCTTTAGAAGTGACCAGTTTACCCGTGTGGTACTCCTTCCTTGTTCCTGGGCTTACATTTCCTGACTCTTCTTCAAATGTACCCCAGTCTGGGTTGGCAGGCCTGTTGCTACCGTAGCCTGAGCTATCTGGTCTAAAACTTCCAGAGGCAGGGCTTGCTGGGTTCCTAGTTCCACCATAAGGGGGCCGAGAGCTCCCAGGATTCCAGTGCTCAGTGCCACTGGATGCAGCCCCTCCCGGGCTCTGATTTCCATCACTGCCAGGATTCCAGTATCCAGGACCACCGGGCCCAGGCTTCCTGGGGCTTTCGGTCTCTGATCCTGTTCCGTGAGGCACAGAGTCTCCTCGGGCACTGGCCTCTCTCCCAGGCCTCTCTAACTCCATTCTCATCTGCTGCATCTCTGTCAATGCCCTCCACTCTGGAGGGGCCGTCTGAAGCTGGCTCTTGAACTGTATAGGAACCAAATCTGGAACCGGTTTCATTTTTATCAGTGGTAAGAATTGCCTATCTCTAGAGGGAAGTAACTCTTTGGCAATAACCTGTTCAAGTTGCTTCTGTTGCTCTTCATAGTCTCTCAGATTTACTTCACGAGCCAAAGCCCTGCTGCAGGAACCCTTGCAAGATCGGATCTTAATATCAATGTCCACCTAAAGAGAGAAAAAGAAAAGGTAGAAAGAAAGGAACTATGTGTACTGAGTTCCTGGCAGTTAATTTATCTTTTGGAACTGGTTTCATTTCTTTGGCTTCCAGTCCTACCGATTGATACTCTGTTCTCCACTGATGGAATATCCTCGGAGGAAGACATGCTGCATGTGGTAAGGCCAGGATGTGCAACGGGTTGTTATTTGGATTCATTATGGAGTTAGAATGGGCTATTTCCTCTGAAAGGAAGCACTAATTAAGTGATCCTTGACGAGACTGAGGCCACAGACCTGTGATGTTATTACAGGCTTTGGAATCCAGACAAGACTGAACTTTTGCTTTTGAAACTTACTATTTATGTACCCTTGAAAATTTTTTTACTATCTCCCAACTTTTTTCTTCATTTCTACTTTTCTGTGGATAATAGATGTAGCAGTTTTCTAACTCATACAGACTCTAGATACATGATATTGCCTTCCTTTTCCCTACTATTCAAAAACAAAGAAACAGGGTGTTGGAGTCCTGTGCTTCCTTACCTCCAGGCGTTTCATGTCTATCAGCTGAGCCCTGACGTTGTTCTGCAGAAGTTGGATTTGCTGCGCTTTCTCAATGACTTTGCGCCTCAGAATCTCGATTCTGCTTCTCAGGTCTCCTGACACTTGGTTATAAGTATTATCATTGTCTGCAGTAGACAGTACAAACAGTGAAGGAGCTGCTGAGTGATTTGAAATATCCAACCCTCCCAAAAAGAAATGTCCTTATAAATATTCCCGCATTTTATTTGGGTTACAGTGTTTCCCAGACATTTAATCTGTGAGTTTCAAGCGTATTAAGCATTTCACTTTTGGGTAATGTTATGTCCTCCAATCATCCATGGTTGTCAGTTATAATGTCCTAGTAGCAATTAGTAATGCAAATAAATACAAAAGAAATTTCCTTGGAAATTTAAAAGTATGAGAAGGAGATAAAATGAGTAGCTTGAGCACATTCTAATTATTTCATCATATCTTCAGTCAAGGGATTTGACTGTGCTATTGAATTTTCTTACTGAAGAGTTTCTCTTTCCACCAACAGATTTGAAATTGTTCCCAAACTATCATGGGGTCACTGGGACCACTCATTTGCCAGCTGATATTATATCCTTGGCGTTGGATTACTCAGGTGGATCCTGAAGATAGGATGAAGCAAAGCAAGGCTTCAGGACCTACGACTTCCCTGGACTCACTGTGCAAGTCCAGCATAAACACAGTGTCTCCTGGCCCCGACAGGAGTCCTCTGAGAAGGATACAGCATAGCTTTGTATTTAAAAACACCTTGAAATCTGCATATCAGCTCAGTGGAGTCGAGGGTTGGACTCCCAGATTTGTGGCCATTGACCAAGTCCCTTGACTTCTAAGTTACCTCAACAAAAATATCTACTCAAATGTTTGGGCCCATCTTATTTTCAATATTGACCTTTTGAGAGGAACATGCTTACATTCTTGTCCTTAGTCCAAAAATCTGAGTTATTGTGTGATCTTAAGTAATCTAAGCTAACCTCTTCTGCTTTATAAAAATGATAAGAAACAAACCTTTCCTTAAAATTCAAGAATATCATGGAAATATGTGTTTCTACACTAAGTATTCTGGAATAAATCACAATAGCTATAAGTAGACACCATTATTCAGGATTTGTGCTGTTATTTTTGCTAGAAATCAAAACACTAATATTTAATACTTACTATTGGCTTTGGAAAAGTCCCCTCTCAAAATCTCCATTATGTTCCTGTATGTACTGGAATCTTTATTGTTCTTTTGATAATCAAATAGTGCATTTTTCAGCTTATTTATTCTGTTTGTAAAATCTTGATTGGCTTCATCAATCAGCCCTTTCATCCTGCAGCCAGAAGGGCATTTGTACCCCTGAAAATAAAAACGAAAAAAACGACATTGTAAGTCTATCTCTTAGATCCAAACCTTATTCCAGGTTTCCACAAAGCACTCACTGCTTCTGATCATCTATTGGCTTAAAAGTAGCTAAGAGGACTACTTACAGATCATAGAGAAATTTTGGAATTGTGACCCATTTAACCACAAATTAGATCCCATGAAGTCTGAAGTCCTAGGACTCAGGTTCCTACTACTTGCATGCAGCTAAAACCCAATCTGCTGTTCAGCCTATTAATGATGGGGCATCAGGGAGGTAAGCAGACAATGCTCTGGGGTCTAGCCTCCTTTCTATTGGCTGTCTTTATTTTAGCAAGTAAGAAGCTAGATCATTATTAGCTTTCTTCTTCCTGGGAAAGTTTTCTGGGGTCACTGTGTGAGCCTGCCCCAAGTCCTCAGGCAGGACTCCAGCTCCCATCCCTGCCACTTACCCAGTCCTCGTCAGAACAGAAGGGCCAGTCAGTTTCTTTGCAGGCAGACTGCTGTCTCTCCACAAGTCTTGGGCCACGCACACCTCCTCCTTCTGTTAAAAACGCTCCACCAGTATCTGCGCTCTTTACACACACACACACACACACACACACACACACACACACGAGCAAAGTCAACAAGTTAGCCAAGAAAGGAGACACTGCCCTGACTACGAGTCCCAAGAAATGGCGCTCTGTGGAGATTACAGGAGACAGCATTAGGGCCTCCAGAAGCTTTGGGCTTCCTGCCTTTAATGAAAACCCTAACACCATTGTACGAACTTCTGAGGACTAAAGGAGATAAAGTGCACACATTTTTAAGTGTGCTTGATACTAATAAGCAGCTGATCAATGTTAGTAGTTTTGTAGGTTCTCGATAAGAGGAATATTATTTGACTCAACAAAATTACTTAAATTTCACCTTTTCATTTTAACACTTGATCTTAGCCAAAAGGCCGAGAAGCGATTACACCTTTTCATTTTAACTTAGGACTGCAGACGGACAGACAGTTGAAAACTTGGAGGGGTTCCTTCTCCTCTAACGCCGGATTCGTATGCAGATGCCTATACTGTTTTAACTTGCTGCCCCTTCTCGGCAAACTTCCACTGTCCCCTTCAGGATGGGTCCAAAGTTCAGGCAAGCATTTGTCAAGGACACGAATGTGGCCAGTTAAGATTTGGAAATGTATTTTAGGTGACTCCTCAATACAATAACTGCTTTTTATTTGAAATGCAAAATAATTGACTGAAAGTAAAAATAATAGTCAGTGACTGGCAGTTCTTTTGAGCAACTTATCAGTAGAAATGTACAGTTAAAATTTTTCTACTGTGAACCAGATGTAATAGCATACAAAAAAAATCTTCCAAGGCCAGGGATTTAGCTCAGTGGTGCGCTGCCTGCCTCTCAAGCAGAAGGACCCAAATTCAATCCCTGGTACCAAAAAAAAAAATCTTCCAAGACCTTACATCCTAGTAAAGGAAGATGGCTTTTAGATTTTCACTATTTTTATTCTCTATCACCAACTTACAAGAATTTTTCTGTGACTACGTTAGTTTGGAGTAGTTTATTGTTAAAATTAATCAACATGTGCAGTCTCGTTTTTTAAAAAAATTCAGATAATAATAAAGCTAATTCAAAGGACCTAGAACAGTTTATGTCAAGGAACAAATGCAATCATTCTATCTAAGCAATAAATAGTAAACTTAAACATGTTTCAGAATAAAATGTTACAGTGAAAACAGGCAAAAAATGAATATTTATACTGTAGGGGAGATGGGATAAATAATTGAAACTTGTGTATTATCCAAAATATCCCTTTAACAAATTATTTTAGTTTCTCTCCACCAAAAAACATTACCTAGTATTTTACTATAGGGAGAGAATTCTTTACCATTTGATATTAGGATTTATTAGTGATGACACAAAAAATAAATTGAAATACTGTATATACATTTTGGATAAGAAACTAGAGGGTAACTTAGGTTCTTGGACATATGTTATATTTGTATAAGGTTAGAGTGTTTCAGAAACCTTGTTGAATGAAATTTCATTTTTATGTACGTCTCTGGAGCTAAATTTTAGATATTGTTGCAATATTTAGAAGATAACTTAAAAGAACACACATTCTTCCCAAAAGTGTACTGCCCTATGAACTAATCTCTTCTGCATTTGCTGTACGTTTCCAAAACAACTCATTTGGTTTTTTTTTCTTTTTTGTCTCGAAGCAGACACCAAAACAACCTCTTAGAAAAGTTGTACTAAAACTAAACATTTTGAACAAATAGCGAGAAATTAAAAATAATTTTATAAAATGTTTTCTTCTGTTAACTAGCAGAATGCCTCAAGATTTTATAGGGACAAAGATAGCAAAGTATTTTTCCCTTTAAAAAAGCAAATAACAGAGTGGGGATGTCACTCTGGTGGGTTCCATTCCCAGCACCACAAAAATAAATAAATAAACAAACAAACGCCAACAATGTTGTAATACAGAAAGACCAATGTTCAGGTTTCCCTTGAGAATGTGTGCAGTCTTTGGTCCCTCACAGTTCTCTCTTGGGCTCATATTACCCTGTGCTCCTGTTCAGCCCATCTGGGATGTTGCTTCTATGCCTGGAACTCAGAAAGCTGAGTGTCTCAAAGTGTAGAATTGGTGGATTCAGACCTGTAAGCTCCTTGTGGAGTAATCACCGGAGAGCAAGTGAGAAGAGAAAACAAAAGGTACCATACCCATACTGTGCCGAACACACCCAAGACCAGGTAGAAGACCCTCACAGAAAGCATCTTTTCCGAGGTTGGGGCCTTCTCGTGAGGAGCACTTCAGCTGAGAAAGATCTGCTCCTGCCCAGAGCTCCCACCCCATTTAAATCTGGGCACATTGGTTGTTAATCATTACTCTTGTCCCATTTGCACACTCAAAGCTCACTACAGTCCTTTGCTCCTGCAGTCACTTTGGTATCCCAGAAATTCTTGCCCAATTCTCCTCAGTTTATTTGCTTCCGATAAGCTGTCACAAATGGGAGCATTGGCTTCTCCAGCCAGCAGTTACGGGAAGAGCCCACGTTCTTGGAACAGGATGACTGAAAATGTAAAGGGAAACACAAGAGAATGCATTGATACTTCCATACGCAAAGGAGTATTCGGGTGGCTGAAGCAGACCGCCTGTAGTGCAGTGAATAGAGATTTTAGCAAGCATTTCACCTTAGGTAGGAAGCAAGATTGGGAGATCTGACTTTCAAAAGCAATTTTGTTAACAAGTTGGTCCTGAAGGCCTTCTAGAAGCTTATGTTAAAAATCTTTCTCTACCCGAAACACTTAAGATATCAGTTCCTGGAAGCAAACATCACAGCTTCATAATACTACCTAAACAATTGTAAAGCTACTGGACAAATTACTTTACCTCTGTATGCCTCAAGTTTCTCATTTTAAAAATGGGCATAATGATAATCTAACACATACGTTTTTATGGAGAATGAATGAGTGATCCTTGTTAAGCCCTCAAAGCAGTGACTGCCAAACAGTAAGCTCACAATAAATGCTAACAATTACTGGAGACCTGAAAGTACCATGGAAAGTGCCATTTCACTCCTCTTTCTGTGCCATTGGATATGCTGATTTACTTTCCTTGCTATCCATCTCCATAGCAAACTTCTTACTGACTCTATAGAGCTACCATAAGATCCAGCAACTCCATTTCCAAGTGTACCCAAAAAATGAAATCGGGATCTTGAGGAGACATCTACATTCCCATGTTCATTGCAGCATTATTTACTATAGTCAAGATATGGAAATAGCCTAAATGTTCCTTGATGGATGAGGAGATAAAGAAAATATATATACACAATGGAATGTTATTCAGCCTATTAAAAAAAGAAATTCCTAGGGCCGGGGATTTAGCTCAGTGGTTTCGACCCTTGCTGCACAAGCGCAAGGACCCAAGTTCGATCCCTGGTACCAAAAAAAAAAAAAAAAAGAAAGTCCTGCCATTTGTGACCACATAGATTAACCTGAGGACATTATGCTAAATGCAATAAACCAGACATAGAAAGATAAATGCCACATAATTTCACTTATATATGGGATCTAATAGTTAAATTCACAGCAGGAAAGTAGAGAATGGTGGTTGCTGGGAGAAGTGGGGTAGGGAAATGGAGACATAGTGGTTGAAGCATTTGAAGTTTTAGTTGCAAAGGACAAATAAATTCTGGAGATCTAACGCACAGCATGGTGACTGTAGTTAACCCTGTAACAAATGTAACATGACTGTACTTACAATTTGAACTTGAAATCTGCTAAAAGGGTAGATTTTCAATTTTCTCATTGCAAAAAACTATATATATATATATTTTTTTTTAAAACCACATGAGGACATATATACAATTCATCAAAAAATGTATACAACAGGAAAAGAAAAACTTGTGTAAATATTTTAATACTAAAGTTGGGATGTCATGAGCATAACACAAGTTAGCTCAGCTTCTGCAACCACAAGAGGTGCTCAAAGTGGTGGCCATGAGTTTCCAGACATTTATTAGTCCAGCCAACTGCTGAAGTGTGTCCACATTTTTGGGAGGACTCTGCATATGCTAATTAGTGTTCCTTGTGTTACTAGAATTCCAAAATGTTGTCCCATGATGACAAAGAATAAAACTGCACATGGTAGTAGCCGGGTGTGGTGGTGTATGACTGTAATCCCAGCACTTGGGAGGCTGAGGCAAGAGGATTGCTTCAAGTTTGAGGCCAACCTGGGCTACATAATAATTTCAAAGCCAGCCTGAGCTACACAGAGACCTCGTCTCAAAAAAACCCAAAACAAACAAACAAAAACACTGCACATGGAGGAGGTAGGGCACAAGAACCTTTATTTAAAAGATATAAAGGGGAAAATGTAAAAGATACAAAGACAAGGAAGTAAAGCTCCCACTAGCTGGGAGGGGCTTCTGAGTAGGCCACCCAGGAGGGCTCTTTGTCTAGGAGTTTTTGAGGGATTTAGAAGGCAGCTCAGGCCATTGTATAAGCAATATATTCTCTATCCTATAAAGGACTACATATTCTTAGGGTCAAATCAATGCAGTGTTCACAGTGTCCATGCAGGGGTCATATACCCTTGAGCCAATGGCCTGCGTGGTCATGTTCTGGAAAAGTCCCAGACAGCTGAAGGACACCTGGAAGATGTTTTCGTAAGATCCCTGGAGGGTCATGAGGCGGCAGACTACATTTTGGGCTTCCTGACACCACTTTGAGGCCACTATCTTTACTGCCTGATAGAATCCTAACTCCTATCTCAGTAATTCCTGCTACAATTTTGCAAACTATATGCATTTCAAAGCATAAGTTATAAACCTTAAATATAGACAATTTTGTGGTACTAAAGATTGAGCCTAGCAACTTCACAATGAGCTACATCTTTAGTCTTTTAAAAAACCTTTTATCTTTGAGACAGGTCTCACTAAGTTGCCCAAGGTGGCCTCAAACTTGAATCCTCCTGCCTCAGCCTCCCAGAGTGCTGGGATAACAGATGTGCACCACCATAACTGGCAAATTTTTGTTGTTGTTTACTATACTTCAATGAAACTACAAATACATTGGCTTACATTTGCCACATTTACCAAATTAAAATACAAGATACTCAGCAAAATTTGAATTTTAAATAAGCAATGACTATGTTTTAGTATAAATATATCTTATACAATATTTGGGATGTACTTATATTAAATTATTCTTGTTCTGTATCTGAAATTCAAACTTAATAGGTCCTCCTATAATTTATCTGGCTTGTATCTGTGATTTATCAATCCTAGCTTGGCTCCAATTTTACCCCCTGTGTGAAGCCAATCCTGACATTAATAATAGCTAATATTTATAGTGTATTTAAGTGGTGAACACTTTGCTAGACTTTTCACTGGGTACCTGATTCAATCTCTCCAAGTAAAAGCAGTCTCTTGTTCTTCTAGATGTACTTCCCTGGACTATCTCCTACTAGCAGATTCTATCATTGTAAGAATATTGTTCATTTCCTCCACTAGGTCATACTCTTGAAGATTGGACTATTTCATTTGTGTTTATAGTCTCTCCAAAAGGTGTGGGTCCATATTGAGCAAAAAAGCATTCCTTCACATGTTCCACTGTTGCAAAGTTGACCTGCTATGAGCACATGAAGCCTTATCAATGGACCCAGGCAGCGGCCAGGGCAGTGCCCTCCTCAGCTATGGAAGGTTCCTTGTCAGCCCTCTAGAATTTCTGAGGCAATTGCAGTTGGTATTTCTAAAGACAGCTACAGAGCTCGGAGGGAGCCCTGGGACTGTGTCCAGGTTCCGTGGAAACCTGGATTATGCCACACACAATTACTCCTCCAGAAAAACATTATTCAAGGACTGAAAGGCCAGGCTGGACCTCAGGTGTCTTCCTGTGTTCACAGGAAATGCCCCTTTTTGGAAATGAACAGGATGTAGCAAAGAAGTTCCCAAGGAGCAACCTGGGAGACTTCAGGTAAATTGATTGAACATAACTTCGATGAAAGTAAATCAACAGAAAACAGTCTCAGTGTTCTGTCCAGACACTTCATGGAGGCCGCCCCAGGGATTTATCCTTACTGCTCCAAGCTTCCCTCAAGGACCTGAACTCCTTATTTTTAATGTACCCAAGCCTCTGCTCAAGTGGCACCTCCTCAGGGAGATTGCCTCTCACCTTGGGACAACGACCCCCACACATTGGCCCCCAGCCTTGCTTTGTTTTTCTCTGTGTCCTTTATCAGTCCTAGACAATGCGGCAGTGCAGGTTGGTGCGTGGATAACTGGCTTCACAGGAATGAGTGAGATTCCAGCTAAGTAACATGGGCAAGCTATTTAAGTTCTCCGAGATAGCTTACTTACCTGCAAAATGGAATGCCAATATTTATTTTGTAGGGTGGTTGGATTATATAAAATTATGAGGATCATATAAATGATTCATATCAAATGTTGGTCATACACAGTAGAATCCTTACAAATAAAAGCTTTTAGGCTTCTAAATGTCTGAATGTAGGTGTCCCATAATTCAAAGATGACTTGTCTTCTCTCATGCTCTAATTCCCTCACCTAGCATTTTTGTGGACACTTGGTCTGGCCCCGCTCAATAAATACACTGTGTTGTAAGTTTTGGGGAGCAGGTTTTGTTTGGGTAGAAATCCATGCAGATTAATAGGCAGCAAATCATACAAGAAGTGTCATTTTAAAAATCATGGAACAATACAGATGTGTTTTTAAGGGCAAAAAAAGTGGAAAAAATTTAAGAAATTTTCAATGACTTAAATTACAACTTGCTGTTGTCTTTTCTCTAGAAATGATTTTACTACAAATGATGTATTTTCCTGAGCTCTACTGAGGGAAGTTTATTTATTTATTTTGAAATTGATAAAATATTTCACCAATTATGAATATACAAATACAGGAATTTACCCATTTGTTATTTCATGGCATCTGTAAGAACTAGAGGTTTTTATTTTTATGATGTATAAAGTAAACAGAAATAATAAAAATTATGCAGCTATAATTATGCTTCAGTCTTAAACTATATCTACTCCTCACAGAAAATATGTAACCAATCAGCTAGATGTTTGTTGTGTAAATACAAATTAAAAATACAGAGCAAAACAAAAAATCAGAACAATAGCTTTCTTTCAAATAAACTATTCTTCCCTGGGCTATTTCCTATGAAATTAGGAAACATTCTATTTTTTATCAGTTTATTTTAAGTATATCAAGTTTTGAGAGGAAGTCATTCATTTATTTCTTAGTTTAAATATAAGGAACATCTATGGTGAGTATATTGTTTGTTCAGTCTTCAGATAGAAAGACAAAAATTATAATCTTTTACCTTAAATGGCTTTCAGTTGGTGATCAACTCAAATAAATGCACAACCAGGAATTTGGCTAAAACAATATAAAATCATCTT